AATTAAAAACTACATTTAAGATGAATTTAAAAACATTTAAGACAAAGCAAAGGAACCATTTCTCTTAATAAGTCATTGTAAACGACGGACGGAGGCTGGAGAGTTGTCATGGGGTTTTCTAGCTCCTCTTCCAGACTGTACGAGGAAAAAGGAGGAGGAGTATGAAGAAAAGGAGAGAGGAGGCGAGCAGAGTGAGAGCACACAGAGAGTGTAATGGAAGAGAAGATTAAATTAAGAGAGACAGGAAGAGACATTTAAGTAAATGGAATTATTGAGAGCATAATTTGGATTGCATTGAATAGAGAGAACGAGGAGGAGCACGACGAGAACAAAGGAGAGGAGGGGACAGAGAGAGAGAGGTGGGGAGGGCATGTCAAAAACTGGAGACTTACAATCTAAGAGAGCACTTGGTCCATCTCCAAGATATCGATTTAGAAATTAGCCTCAGTGTGTGTGTGTGTGTGTGTGTGTGTGTGTGTGTGTGTGTGTGTGTGTGTGTGTGTGTGTGTGTGTGTGTGTGTGTGTGTGTGTGTGTGGCTCTGGGTAGAATATAGTGAGATATGGATGCAGGACTGTTAGTGGTCTGAAATCTTGTTACATTTGAAATCTTGCATGCAGGAGTGATGATGCTGAGTCTGAACACTGCCCACATGAAACCATGGTAACCAGCACACGATGACATCACTGTTTGTGCTTCTTTCAGTACGGTATTTGTACAGCAAAGGAATGCTGTAAATGATTTAGTGGGACAATTCAGTGATTGATGGTGCTCCTGATTGTTCAGTATTAAACAAAAAAAGATTTTTTAATTTTTATTTTTTGCAGTCAAAGTTCCTCTGACGATATTTATTTTAATTCAAGCTACGGTTATCATGATACCAGAGTTTTCAATTTAGATATGATTGTAGTAAAAAATGAAATGAAATCAACAGCTGTTTGATACCATGGCAACAAAAATAGATGTTCGAGGCACCCAATATTATGTAATGTCTTAAATACTATTGTTACATGTTGTAGCCATACCTGTGGCTAATTACTAATCAGGAGCTAAACTATAAAGAGCAGGAGAGAGGAGGCTGCCAGTGGGTCGTTGGACTGTGTGTGTTTTTGACGTCGAGAAATTGAGTGTGATCCTTCTGTGGATTGTGTTCAGATTAAGGCCTTATTGTTTATATCTTGATTGTTAGTTTTGAATTGTGTTTGAGATAGATTGGCTTCTCTTTTGTTTGGTGTTTTTTTTAGAAGAAGCTTGTTTTGTGCTTTAGTTTGTTAATAAATCCCTTTTAACTTCGCTTATATTTAGTTCCTATTTCTTTTCCCTGGGTTTTAATTTATTGTTACTACCCTCATCCCCTAGCCATCTTGGGGAACGTAACAACTGTACACTAGTCTCCTCCTGTAGACTAGTCTTTGTAAATAATCAAAGAAACAAATTCTTCTGACTTAAAGTGAGAAGGTGCCTGATGCACTTTCACAGACTTCTCTAAATAAAAGACAAAAGAGTACAGAATAGTAAACCATCATCATACAGTTCAGCTGAGCGAGGGAATGACTGGCTAAATGTTCATATTGAGTTTACATTTTTCATCAGGGACTTAAAGCAGATGTGATCATCTAAGAAAAGGATCACTCTGACATGCAGTGAATGAAATGTTAGAGAGCAAACTACCCTACAAATCAGCACATGCTAAAGTTTTGTTAGTTAGGGTTGCAAACTTTCCTGAACAAATTCAAATATACGAGTATGTTTGACGACAGAGGAGTAGAAGTACTCATCTTATATTATATGAAATAAACCTTTAAATATATTTAATTTGTCATGTAAACATGAAGGCATTTGAATTCTACACTGATCCTCAGTGTGCACAGCAGACATGAAAAGCATCATGAAAAAAGAGATAACGTTTAAAATGTTTTCCTGAGCATGTAAGAGATCTACTGAAGACATGAATATGTTTGTGTGAGTTTGTCTTTTTGTGCTGTGCTGAATTTGAATATAAAATCACACAACAGTGGGAATATGTCCCTCCCCCCTCCCAGGCTGCCAACCCCCTACACCCCTGACCTTTGACCTGAACTTTTATGAGCCTATCTTTCACTTCCTTTACTCAGCTGTTGGACTGGACAAGCGGGCTTCAAACTACACTCCCTCCTCAGAATAAAAAAGGTTATAGATAAGAGATTCAACAGGCAAAACAGTATAGAGGGATGTGTGTGTGTGTGTGTGTGTGTGTGTGTGTGTGTGTGTGTGTGTGTGTGTGTGTGTGTGTGTGTGATGAATGATGGAGCAGGCTCTTTGTGTTAGAAATCACTGAACAGCTTCCTGTGAACATAACTGGAACGTGACCATAGACTGTAAATATTACTGGACGAACCCTGACCCGTCTGTTACATAGGCAGAAAATGAGTCCAATCGACGGCCGCATCCATATTGGATTTGCAGTCTCAACCTAACTTCGGATCAACCTAGCAACAGCAGTAAGGCGGGACCGGCGGGACTTAACTCCGCCCATTCAGCTCGACGTTAGCAGTCCACTTGACAGCATCGCTAACAGCTAGGCTGCTATCATCCCCTACTGCTGCTCGTCCTGAGAAAACTCTATAAACAGTAAGTTAACATTTAACTTTTCTACAACACAGTTAAAACTAATTATATTCAACCCAAATGTTTAATTAAAGTCTTAAAACTACACTTATATACAATCATGGTTATTAGTTATTTGTCAGAGCAGTTACACTTTGTCAGTGTTAGCAGAGAATTACATTAACAAAGTTTTATCCATAAACTGTAAATAAATATGAGACATCCAGAAGAAATGAATATTACAAAGCATACAGTTCATGTTACTGTTCTGACAAAAAGAGAAATGTCTGTGTTTTATATTTACTGATGTCAACAGCGATGAGGTGAACATGACAATTGAACAAATAATGATTTAGTATTTATTATAAGACATTTGTTTTCTATTGAACCTGTGAAGTCATGGAGTCTGTGGACAGTGTCAGCTTCACACCAAAAACTTTAAGTATTAGAAAAAATAGTATTTAAGACTGGCACCTATTATTATGAGTTGCAGCTACCTTGTTCAATATTATTCCTGCAGATGTGGCTCATAACAAAAAAACAGCCTGAGCTGTCACATGTAGTTAACTGTACATTTTGTCTTGTCTGAGGCATTAATTGAACATCTTTGTATTTCTCCTATAGACACAGTGTGGATTATTGGTGACTGGTCCATCGAGGTGCCCAGAGAGCTGCAGAGACAGAGGAAGAAACCTGAGCCTCAACAACATCTGCATTTGTTGGTTCTTCTGAGGTGGACTTCGGTTGCTTCTCTTCAACAGCTCGCTGTGAGGGAGGTCTGAGTGATGTCACCCACAGGCTGAGAGCTGAGGCGTGTTTTAAGCCTCTTGACAAACCGTTACACCACGCCCGCCTGTCAAGCTGGTCAGCTACACACCTTATTGTGAATAACTCTTATCCTTCATCAAATCAAAACTGATGAATCATCAAAACATTCACACATCTATTTGTTTGTTTTGTACCAAGCTGTAAACATGTTCATCTCTGCTGTAAAAACAGACTTTTTTATGTTGTTTTTCAGATTAAATAAATATTTCTATATAAATGCACTCCTTTATGTCTACTTATGAGTATACATTTCAGATTTGAAATGACAAGACTAAAATGTGCATTAATGCTCAACTCAATAGCTAAGAGAAGGAAGTCTACTTTTACACAATTTCTTATTCTTTTGATAAATACTAATGTAGTTCATTTCTTAAAATGGGATGGAACAGAGTCATTGCAAAATGATGACCTTAAACACAGCCCCATTCTTAAATCAAGATACATGGAGAGTAAATAAGATCAATAACTTGTGAATAAAAACACAGTTAAAAATGATTTAGAAATGTAGTCTTCCCTGATCAATATCACATAATATCAACTTCTTCCATCTAAACTGAACCAAGGGTTTAAAATGGGAAGAAAATGGTTTGATTGCAAGTTGTTTGGAGGAGATCTAGTTTTATTTGAACAGCATGAATACAGTCTTCCAAGGTGCAAACCCTCCTCCTCCTCCTGAAGCTTGTGGAGCTCGTTGATGTACTGCCGTCCTATCTGCTGGCCATCTTCTCTCAGCAGAACTTTGACTGTTGAAAAGTCATTCAGAAGAAGCTCGAGCATGTGACATGGATCCAGGAGAACATGGACTTTTAGTGAGAGGTCTTCAGGATGGCAAAGAAAGAGAGAAAATATCAGTTATTCATTAAATCATTTTTTAGAACCTTTAGCTTCTAACATCACACAAACTCATTATTTTCAACAACAACATCTTAACAACAAACATTTCTAAACCATTGACCGTAAATAATGTAAATAATGAGCTACACTGAGTACAGTTAGTCGACTGGTTTACAAGCTAACACTAAACAAGCTAGGTCCGTAAATATAAATACCGACACATGAGTATACAGTAAATATAACACTACTATATCACTTACCGAAAAAAACTGAAGCATCAACTTGTTGGATGGTCTGTTAACCGCACAGCAAGCCATGTATGTTGTCATACATGGCTTGCTGTGGCCCCCCCCCCCCCACAGTGTGAGGAGAAGGGGCCGTCAACTTCTCAGATATATCTCATTTTTTGAACCAGGCTGTAAACATGTTGATTCCTGTGGTAAAAACGGGCTTTATTGGCTGTGAGCTTATGGCACTTAGGCTTCATTTTTCGAGACCGGAGGTTGCCCCTTGAACGTGACTCATTTTATTCTGCTGGCATCAAAACAACACTGCGCCCTCTGCTGGTCAGCAGGTGTTACTGTATGTGTGTATTTAAATGTCACTCAAAGCTTTGAATCCACAGCGTGTTAATAGAAACCTTTTAGTGGTTTCTGTAACAGCTTCACGTCTGCCCGCAGTGTTTATATCTGTCCATGTTTGTTTCTGTTACTATGGGGATTAATATGTCAATCAATACTGTGTGTCTGTCCAGGTGTCCACATCCTGATCGCTGTGGGTGCAGTGATGATGGTGGTCGGTTTCCTTGGATGTTATGGCGCCATCCAGGAGTCCCAGTGTCTTCTGGGAACTGTGAGTCTCCCCTTTTCATCCCTTCATACACCAAATGACCTTTTTCATGACAGGAATCACATTTTAAACCAGAAGTTTACAATATTTCACTGATCAGCACACAGTGCTGGTAATGATCTGAGGAAGACAGAAAAGATAAATACACAAGGCTAGTCAACATGGAGGAATTTTTGAATGCATTAAAAAAAAAAATTGGATGAAAATGTAAAAGAACTAAACACATTTGTTTAACCTTAAAGATTAATAGATCATAGTCCTATGGCAGCCATGTGTCTGTGATGTCAGGCTCATGGTTGGAAGCTCGGATGTTGTTATCATGTATGACTGTTGAGTTCCAGGTTTAAATCATGTGAACATTGCAAACTGTTTTGCTCAGATTTGAGCTCTGAGCAAAGGTTTTTTATGCCTTTATTGTAGCGATAGGACAGTGGACAGTTTCGGAAATTAGGGAGAGAGAGAGAGAGAGAGAGAGAGAGTGGAGAATGACATGTGGGAAAGGAGCCACAGGTCGGATTCGAGCCGGCCACTTGTAGGACCACATTCTCCTTACTCGCCACTACGCTGCCAGTGCCCCCAACTGTTTTCATTTTAAAGATTCCCAATTTATAAGAAAGTATACAAAAAATGGATTTAGTATCAATGCTAAATGAACTTCAGCTTGTAAAGCACTTTTCTTGTCTTCTCACTACACAATGTGCTCTTACACTACTTGTCAGATTCACTCATTCACACACCCCTGTCGTAGCGGCGGGAGCAATCTGGGGTTCAGTGTCTTACTCAAGGACATTTTGACATGTGGCTGCGTTACGTTTAAGCTGCAAATAGATCCATCAAGTTTAACCTCCAGGCTTCCATAAATGTCATCAAGATGAGCGTTTATATCTAGAATTGATAAACGCCTTTCATATCATATCCATGATTCTTAGAATCAGAATCAGAATCAGAATCGGGTTGCAAAGTACATTTACACATACAAGGAATTTGACTTGGTGTATTGGTGCTAAACAATTAACAAGGAAATAAAGCAGAACTAGCAACAACTTAAATAATACAGTATTAGAAGATATTACAATATATAGAATAGAATTTAAAAATGTAAAATATAAAAAATAAAAAACACAAAATGTACAAAAGGTGCAATGTAGAAGCTGTGCAGTGGACTATGAGAAAAAAACAAAACAAAAAAAACCGTAAATGTTGACGAGGAAGTGGCTGAATGCTAACGTTAGCCGTGTTCTGGGTTATTAAATCTATTTGTAACTCATAATATGGCCTGATGCCGCTCCAGATTTTCACTATCCATGGTGAGTGTAGTTTCTGATGAAATGAACACATTTGCTCAGACTTGATCCTGGAACATAACAGTGAGACATGGTAACAATATACAGTAGACTCCACCAGCCTGCAGCAGTGTAATGCCTGCAGTATAATCTGTGAAGGGTCAAAGTGCATTCCACTAAGAGTAGTTGCTTTTGTTACTGACAGGCTCAGATTGTTATTCTAAGTGTCTGACAACATTACAGAACAGATCCCCGTAGATAGAGACCTTTTTGTTCAAGAGGAAGATGATTGTAAACAGCTGTCACATCACTCTCTACAAACTCACCAGACTCCATTGATAAAAACAGGAGTCCCTGGAGGCTGCTGGACTAATGCTGCCTCAAAGGGATCATTTTATTTTGTGTGTGTTTTGTGTTCTGACACAAATATTTGTATTGGATATGAAGAACACTATGACACAAATACATTAACCTGATGTATGCAGTGACTTTTTTTATGAATGGAGTCTGGTGTGTTTATAGAGAGTGATGTGACGGCTGTTTGTTGATAAAGAAAAGAATCTCCCTCTTAAACAAACAGGTCTTTTCTGTCGGATTCCTTTCTGTGATGTTGTCAGACAATTTGAATATCAGTCTGAAGCTCTATTCACACAAACAGATTTCGGTATTTTTGTCTGTCAGCCCCCCAAGAAAAAAAATGTCTGCATGAAGTCAGGGTGAGCTGATGTGAGAGGGACAGTCAGGACACAGCGGGAAATATTCAAGAAACTCAGGGAGGGAAATGAGATATGTATTGCAGGACAGGTGCTCAATCTCAATTCATGTTATGAACCTGTTCGTTTATCCACTCCTCAGTTGATACCGTGATTGTGTTGTACTACACGTAGTATGGATTTAAAGGTGAAAAGGTCATCATCGCGTCAGACTCTGTCACATGTCTGCCACCTCTACATCATTCTTTTTAAGTCATGTCTTGCCAAATGAGAATCTGACATCTGACCAAAACAAGAAGTGTTAGTGGATGGACATTTAATCTATTCAGGATTATTCTGCAGCCATTACTGCCTGTTTCACTGCTGCAGGCCTGACGGATCTGATGGAAAAATTCAAAAACTTTTTGTGCCTATTAGACATTTGGACCCATCAATATGTGACAAATAGGATAATATACGTCTGAACTTTTCTCCATTGTAATGTATCTTGAAGTTTGTGTAGAGTTAACCTGAGTGATGTCTGTGTTGTGTCCTGCAGTTCTTCGCCTGCCTCGTCATCCTGTTCGCCTGTGAAGTAGCAGCTGGAATCTGGGGCTTCATGCACAGAGAAACTGTAAGACCACACACACACACACACACACACACACACTAATGGATTTATATAAGTACACACTATAGTGACAACAAGTACAGGTTATAACTGCACTGGCTTCATTTTAGCATTCTGAATCTAATGTCTCAAAAAGACAGAACCCATGTTGGTTTGAGGAGGTCTCAGAGGTCTCCAGATTTCTTCAGTGAAGATGTAGTTAACTATCAGCTCCAGTTTTTACTTCCTGTGTATTCCCATCACAGAGACTGGAATTATTCCCAGGGCCCCGTTGTTCAAAAGTAATCCAACAGGATTCAAGACCTGGTCCAAAGTGAGCTGGATTACCTGATCGTTGGTAGAAAAGAAAAAGTTGATCACCAAATCAGGATCCTTTTTATCCTCAGAAAACGTTTTGAGCAACATGGACCCTGAAGATTTTTTTTCATTAACCGTTATCCAATCAACCATCAAAGATGATTTAAACAATGTTAACTTTACTGCTCAATCAGACAGCTTGTATTCTCTACATTGTGATTGTTGTATTTGATCATTTAACAAACATGGCAGCTGGAGAGACACAAGTCTCTAAGTTTGTAAAACTTGTCTTGATTTGAATCTCCTGTTCTTTCTCTGAGCGAGCACTTAAACAATCCACTAAACCAGAAGTTTACAATATTTCAATGTCAATATTTCTAACAATGGTTGGATGCTAACATGAGCTGATCTAACGGCAGCTTACTAGGTTATCATACACGTCCCTCCATATGTCCCAATGAATTTCCCCTGTCCTTTGTCCGTCAGTTGCTGACCAGTTTGTAAGTGTTGAGTGATGAAATGTACTTTTGTCCATTCTTGAATATTACATTGACTATTTCACTGCTATTCTGACAAATGAATGACACCTTGCATGAGAAATGCCACTGCATATTTGTCGCGAAGCAAACACAAACATGTCTGTTTTTCAGGTTTGGTTCAGAACAAGAATGAATTTGAAATCTGTAACAAAACCCAGGTTTTCTTTTTACAATCACGTGTAGCGTAGCCTTATCAGAATCCTGATTAATTAGCACTCGTCCATCTGACATAGTGCCCTTATCATACAGCAGCGACTGAACCTGACTGATAGAAATGTGAGCGTGACAACAAGAAAACAGGGGAGAGAGGTACGAGTGTGAAGGTGATCTAACCCTGTCATTTCCTGTTTCAGGTGTCGAAGGAGATGATGAACTACTACGACTCGGTGTACGACAAGGCCATGACACAAAGTCTGACTGATGATAAGAAGCAGGCGGCTGCCTCTGTGCTCAAGGTCTTCCACGAGACGGTAAGACCATACACTGTAAAATATAAAGAAAGATTAGATTCAGTTAAATATATGTTTTCTTGCACTAAGCATCTCTCCTTTGCAAGATGACCCGATCCAAATCTCAATTCATAGCCCACATCAGATGTATCTTTCTTTTCTAACGAGAGTGCAAACGGACACACTTCATATGAAGTCCACTAAACTCAGTTTCTGAGGGAAGAATTTCTCCGGTGATTGTCAAGATACTTTGAAGTTTTCTTTGTAAGCTGCCTCACACTCACGTTATTCTCGTAAATGTCTAAATCTCATGAGATTGAATACGCCGTCCACTGTCCTGTCTCCAATTTGAAGTCATAAAAAGCCCCCAAATATTTTTAAAAACAGTGACTCTTTACACCTCTAATATTCATGCAAAGTAAAAATAGATAAAAGAAGGTACAGAAAAAGGCAGGGTTGGTCATTTTCTCCAGATACATTTTTTTCAGATTTTGGTGTAAATTGTCTTTAGGTTCTGACAGAAATTAATAACTCAAGTTCTATGAAAAAGGAACAAAGAAAATCTGTCTTCTGTAGCAGTAGTAAGCCTGTGAAAACTTGGACCAGTGTCTGCCAAGAGGTACCAATCTGATGAACCAATCACACGCCTCCCTGTCTCCCTGCTCGCTCTCTACCCCTTGTGTGCACTATCCCACACTCAATGAGTCACGAGACGAGGTAGTTTCAATCGGGCGATGAACTGAGGAGGGGTTTGGTGAAGACAGAAATGCTACTTTCAGAATCATGCTAGTTTTTAAAAAATGACCAACCCTGCCTTTAAAGAACAAAACTGTCACGTTTGTCTTTAGTACCAAAAGAACTCAACTTTTCTAAATTGATGTTAGCTTGTTGCTCACTGTGAGCAGAGGAACAGACTAAGAAGACCAGCAAGATAATCTGTGTGTGTGTGTGTGTGTGTGTGTGTGTGTGTGTGTGTGTGTGTGTGTGTGTGTGTGTGTGTGTGTGTGTGTGTGTGTGTGTGTGTGTGTGTGTGTGTGTGTGTGTGTGTGTGTGTGTGTGTGTGTGTGTGTGTGTGTGTGTGTGTGTGTCTGTGTGTGTGTGTGTGTGTGTGTGTGTGTGTGTGTGTGTGTTTCAGCTGATCTGCTGCGGTAAAGGACAGGGCTCTACTTTTTTCACACGCTTAACGGACGCGGTCGGCGTGACCGACCTCTGCCCCTCCGGTGGAACCACAGTGGTGAGTGTGATCATCTAGCTTCACCGATGTATAACCACAAACATACAGCTCATCACCGGCTCGCCCACACACTGACGTTTACTGACATGTTTTTAAAGCTACAGGGACGTCTTTATACTCACAATCAAAAAAAAATATAAAGAGATGGTCAAGCACAGCATGAAGACACTCAGCATGAAGTGAATATATGATCAACTGGATCATATTTGTATTTAAACACTGTTTATCTTAGTGATCACACTTCAGCTGTACTCTTTTGAATCAGGTCTGAAACTGTGAAATGATACTGAGATACCAATAAGCCGGATGAGAGTGGTTCACTGACTGACGTCCCTGTTTTTCTCTGCAGAGCTGCCACAACAGGATCCAGGAATTGTTCTCAGATAAGATTTATCTGATCGGTATTGCCGCTCTGGTGGTCGCTGTTATCATGGTGAGAACAGGAAGCTGCACTAACAGTCATCAAAGCTCTAAGAACATGATGTGTTTCTTCTTTAATTTACCTAAAAGCAGGGACAGGTAGTCTGTGTTCTGAGGGAAAATAACTGTTAATGAAGTCAAAAAGATGCTGGTTAGGTCAGAGTTGAATTCATTAAGATTTCCTTCAGCTTTCTTCTTCTCATTCATTGAGCCTCAATAAAAAAAAGTAATGCTGCCATGGCTGTAAAGAGCACAATTGATTGAGTGATTCTGCTCTAGCTTTCACAGCTGATCTAAGTGTGGACCTGTGTTCATTTTGGCTGCTATTTTAGATTTTATTTCATGGTCAACATACATCAAAAAAAGATTTGTGTTGCACGACACAAGAGCTGATGGTCTACAGCTGAAGCTCAGGCTGCAGGATAATCAGGCTGATTTCTGCCTCCCAACATTTTTTATTTTTATAGTTTTATATATAGTATAAAATATAGTTTTATTTTTAAGTTGTGGGTAAGACTACAATAACCGCGAGAGACAAGGGAGGAAAGTAATGGAGTGGACAGAACTTGTGAACGGCGGCAGGATGCAACCCGCACAGGTGTACCAGACAATTATAACTCATCTGACAGTTACAGCCTCACCTAGAGCTCTTGATGAAGAATACACAATCCATGTTGTTCCTGTCTCCCCACTATTTCTTTCTTCTTCTTTTTTTGACCAACTTTTTATTTATTTTGACAGTCTTTACAGGTGTATATCATCCAATACATTCATTTGGTAGTAATTCATACATCCATTTTATTGTAATAATAACAATGCAAATACAATAAAAAAGAAGAGGATGACAACACAACCCTGCAAACCTGGAGTTTTAATAGCCCCCCCCTTCCCCTCCTCCCATGGGCCTTGTATTTTAAACATACATAAAAGCATTTACAGTAAGTCTAAAAAAAAATAATAATAATTATATAGGCAGCTCAAATTAACAAAAAATAAAAGGACAAATAATAATGATAGCAATAATGGGATTAAACATTTAAATACCACAGTGTAGTTGAGAAAGAGAAAAAAAACTATTACCTACTATTTTTTTCCCCCAAACTTGTTTGTTTGTTGTTGTTTATTTCATCTCTGCACAAAGCATAATCGCAAAATTTTACCGCCGGCTCAATTAAGGCTTACATGAGGTCACGTGAACTGTTGCGTTCCTTCACCAGACACAATAATCTTTAAAAAATGCTGTAGTATGTGATGTGCCATGATTTTCATATCCAGGAGTGTTTGCATTAGCACACATTCTCTGAAAAGTGGAGCAGGTAAAAAGGTCTTATAATTGGGGGGTTTGTAGAAAGGCACATGTCAGTGTTCAAAAAACATGTTCAAGTGTATTTTGCATGATATGTAACCTTTAAACATCTTCTCCTGTCTTTGTGTTCCTCCTGCAGATCTTTGAGATGATCTTCAGCATGGTGTTGTGCTGCGGGATCCGTAACAGCCCGGTGTACTGAAGCGTCTGACCACCAGTCGGCTCGCTGATGAAGGAGGGACGACCTCGCCGTCTGTCTCAGTGTTGTTTTTTTTTTTTTTCTTGTTTTTTTTTCTTTTATAAGCAGGAGATGTCACATATATTGCTTGCTGGATTTAGTTAGCTCTGTGAGACGATGATGTAAGCCATCCTCCATGGAGCATTTTAACGACACTGTCTATGAAGTTTATGTTAGTTACAGATGCTGTTCTGCATATTTAACCCATGCTATCCTAACCTGATAGATCTTATATCACACTGTCACACCTGAGTTACACACACCTGTCCTGGTGCTCTAATCCTTTGACTTGTTTACTGCTTTCTATTCTTGGTTTTATGGATGTTTTTCACTGTTTTATGTATAAACTGTATATAAATATATATATTAACAGTGCTTTATGACTGCCTGAGCATGGAGGTTGTATTACACTCTGCCTACACTCTTTGCTTGTCTGTGTTGCTCCAGACTGAACCAGGTGATGTGTCTCTGTTTCACATCCACATCGCTGTGTGGCGTCTGCACCAGCTGACGATGGGAGGAGTTTATCCTGGAAGCTGCTCAGTCGCATAAAACCTTCAAATTATTCTCCCTTAGTTGACTTAGTCCTTTCAATTAAAATAAGTTGCATCCCTTTGAATAAAGTCATGTAACTTTAACATAAAGTCTAGCCTAACTTAGGCATCCAAAACTCACAAATTCAGCCTATTGGTCTCAAAATCTGCAACATTTCAAATGAAATCAGGAGAAACAGGATGAGGAACTCTTGATTGTTTCAGCTCAGGGTTGTGTTTGAACTACAGTCTGTAAACCTCCTCTGATGTGATCTCTCTGAGAGTATAAGTTAACTGATAAAAGAGAAGTCTAAAGGAGGAAAATTAAAAGCTTTTATGCCACTTGTGCGTTTTTACATCAGTCCACACATCGCTCGCTGCCTGCAGACGACACAGGGTGAAACTCCAGCCTGTGGTCAAACAGAGACCTGGTTTTGTTTTTTCCTTGTCTGGTTCAGTCTGGTCCTGTCTCATCGTTCTGTCCCGTCAGCTTCACAGCGAATTAACCTCCTCATCGTCATCCTTCATGTAACAACTGATCACCGGTGGTTTGCTGTCCTGCTAATTTCGCTTATCTGTTAGTTTGACCCTGAATGCTCTCCAGAAACATGTTTGAACAAGTGTGTTTAGTGTGCACGCGCAGAAAAGAACAGGGACAGACTCCATTAACCTGTGGGGAAACTGGAACTTTTTTTTTTGGGGTGCAGTCGCGTCCGCAGGGTTATTAAATCAACAGGAGGAAGAAATTCATTTAATTGGGGGGATTTCTCAGACGTCAGGGCGTCGAATTGCCTCAAGGTTAAGTCCTGTGCCCTGCAGAGGCTATAGTCCTCACATGGGGGCTTCTGTGTTCGATTTAGATCCTCCCAACACTTAAGAAAAGGTCAAACCAAACTCCTTTTTAAAAAAAAACAGTACTGTTTGCTTATTGTCTTGCAAACCTGACAAATCACCAATTTCAGACTTTTTACAAATCTGCATCATGATGGAGTCGTTTCAGCATCCTTTCAACCTGTTTACTGTAATTAAATCCTGTTTATTTTGGGTTCAGGGTGCTATAACAAACCTGATCTTAGCTGACTTCATTCAAACAAATGTTTGCACCAAATCATTTGAGCGGACCTTAAAGTTGCTCGTTGAAGTCACAAACCCGGACTATAAGAAATAGTTCCAGCCTGCAGGTAATGCGTAACCTTCATGAGTTGTTAGGGGTGCTAATGGTTTTGTGTCTGCTCTGTGAGTCAGTTTCACCCTCTCAGGTTGATTGTTGTGCTGACTTTAGTCTTGTTTAGTTTCAGGCAGCGCAGTCACATTAACACCTTCACCCTCAGGATCACACCATGCCGCTCATTCGCTCCCACACACACACAGGCTAGAAAAATCCTCTGTCCTGAGCTCTGCTCCTGCTCGTCTCATTTTAACGCTACACACACACACACACACACACACACACACACACACACACACACACACACACAGTCCTAGCATCAACATCATCCTGTGTAACCTTTCATACTATCACTAAAACCTTGTCTTGTTTAACATCCCATACTTAAACTGAGAACCAGTAAAAGTGTCTTGTAATATTTACAGCTCTGATGTATTGTACTAATGAATCATGAAGGCTGTAGAGAGACAATGTATGCCTTTTTTCCTCTTGTATTGTGATAACTTGTCTGGTACGTCGTGAAGGAAGTCTGCACAGAGAGGGGAGGGGTTATTGTGTGGCAGTGCGAACTGAGAGGAAATCAAACCTTCACCCTGTCAGTTTCTCTGACAGACTGTCCATGATGCTGACTTTTTGATCCCCCTGCCACTTTAAACTGACCCCTCTCTGCTCCTGTAGACTTTGGTTTGCCCAGATATAAAGGGATTAAATGTTCTTTACAAATAAAGTCAGAGGGTCGTTGTCTTTTTTGCTTTTTAGAGTGCTAAGAAAAGTAATGATAATAATAACTTTATTTCTATAGCACCTTTTAAAAACACAGGTTTACAAAGTGCTTTGACAAACAGCAAAAACAAGAACAAATTAAACCAAACACATAAGAACATAAACAACAGCAAGAACATAACAAATGCAAAATAATTAAATACAATTCAACAGAAAAGAACCCATAGTGCACGATACAAACCAGACATACAGTGGGTACGGAAAGTATTCAGACCCCTTTACATTTTTCACTCTGTTTCATTGCAGCCATTTGCTAAAATCAAAAAAGTTCATTTTATTTCTCATTAATGTACACTCAGCACCCCATGTTGACAGAAAAAAAACAGAAATGTAGACATTTTTCAAATGTATTAAAAAAGAAAAACTGAAATATCACATGGTCATAAGTATTCAGACCCTTTGCTCAGTATTGAGTAGAAGCACCCTTTTGAGCTAGTACAGCCATGAGTCTTCTTGGGAATGATGCAACAAGTTTTTCACACCTGGATTTGGGGATCCTCTGCCATTCTTCCTTGCAGATCCTCTCCAGTTCTGTCAGGTTGGATGATGAATGTTGGTGGACAGCCATTTTCAGGTCTCTCTAGAGATGCTCAATTGGGTTTAGGTCAGGGCTCTGGCTGGGCCAGTCAAGAATGGTCACAGAGTTGTTCTGAAGCCACTCCTTTGTTATTTTAGCGGTGTGCTTAGGGTCATTGTCTTGTTGGAAGGTGAACCTTCGGCCCAGTCTGAGGTCCTGAGCACTCTGGAAGAGGTTTTCTTCCAGGATATCTCTGTACTTGGCCGCATTCATCTTTCCTTCAATTGCAACCAGTCGTCCTGTCCCTGCAGCTGAAAAACACCCCCATAGCATGATGCTGCCACCACCATGTTTCACTGTTGGGATTGTATTGGGCAGGTGATGAGCAGTGCCTGCTTTTCTCCACACATACCGCTTAGAATTAAAGCCAAAAAGTTCAATCTTGGTCTCATCAGACCAGAGAATCTTCTGTCTCATAGTCTGGGAGTCCTTCATGTGTTTTTTGGCAAACTCTATGCAGGCTTTCATATGTCTTGCACTGAGGAGAGGCTTCCGTCGGGCCACTCTGCCATAAAGCCCTGACTGGTGGAGGGCTGCAGTGATAGTTGACTTTGTGGAACTTTCTCCCATCTCCCTACTGCATCTCTGGAGCTCAGCCACAGTGATCTTTGGGTTCTTCTTTACCTCTCTCACCAAGGCTCTTCTCCCACGATTGCTCAGTTTGGCTGGACGGCCAGGTCTAGGAAGAGTTCTGGTCGTCCCAAACTTCTTCCATTTAAGGATTATGGAGGCCACTGTGCTCTTAGGAACCTTGAGTGCTGCAGAAATTCTTTTGTAACCTTGGCCAGATCTGTGCCTTGCCACAATTCTGTCTCTGAGCTCCTTGGGCAGTTCCTTCGACCTCTGAATACTTATGACCATGTGATATTTCAGTTTTTCTTTTTTAATAAATTTGCAAAAATGTCTACATTTCTGTTTTTTTTCTGTCAAGATGGGGTGCTGAGTGTACATTAATGAGAAATAAAATGAACTTTTTTGATTTTAGCAAATGGCTGCAATGAAACAAAGAGTGAAAAATGTAAAGGGGTCTGAATACTTTCCGTACCCACTGTATAGAACCATCATAAGAACCATCATAAGAACCCAGGCAACACAAGAATCCAACAACACGAGCTGAGACCAAGAGGAGCAAAGATTTAAAAAGATGTTAGAAACTAAAATAGATAAAAGCAAATCAAAAGATAACAGCAATAAGAAGGTAAGAGCAGTAAAAGAAATAGAAACAAATGATTAAATGATCAAAAAAAAAGTCGGAGTTCAGGAAGATATCAATGAAGTTAAAACTTACAGGAAAGCTGAAATGTGGTTGAAAACTTTGAAAAGCATTTGGTTCAGTTAAAAGATGAAAAAAGTGTAGGAAGTAAAACTCCAGGTGACGCCAGGTGCTCTTGAAGATAAGAATATTCTCTTAGGTAGGAGGGAAGCCACAGGGCTCCTGCAAAACCCACTGATCAAAATGCATTATTGCATTTTGGAACATATCAAAGATAAAATATGGAGAATTTTAAAGGTTAAGAAGGATATGTGACCAGGATTCAGATTCCCGTATACAGTCACAGTACATGTCAAATAGGTTCTTGAAGAGATCGTACAATATATAACATATATCTTCAAAGCTCAGAAAAAAAAAACTGCATGGATTTAATACACTGAGAAAAGACCCTTATATGTGGTCACACGTTAAAGTATACAGGCTCCAAAGGTTAGACAAACTATTCTACATCCTTATGAATGATCCCTCTTAAAGGAGACATCTCAGCTCCCTCCTAGTTTTTATCACAAACAAGCTCCGCCCATCAAGGATAGACTTACTCCTACTACCTGCCAGCTAGGAAGAAATCAAATGAACTGAGAAAAACAACAACCTGACGGGACCTTTGAACGCCTGCAATCTGCCTGTAAACACTGCTCCAACATCATACAACAAAAACATGTTATTGATCTAAATGCAGGAAAACAAACAATTGTTAAACTATAACTCTATGATGTAAATGCTTATTGTAGACAGTCAGTTTAGATACAGTTCAGATATTTACAGACTCCTGCTGTATTTCTGTGTAAAATGTTTCACATTCTTCCTTTAATGTGTCTAATGACGGTTTGTTTATGTTAGTATGTTGAGATGTGCATGTTTAAATATGTATATGTGTACGTGTATGAAGCCTATATGCAGCCTGCAGTATGTGTATATGTAGTTTTATGCATGAATTTATTAATTTTTTTCGATTTTTGTAAAGCTAACACTATTTACATCTGTGTTTTGTATCTATGACCACAAACTTGTCATATTGATACACTGCTGTTGTAATTCCTCCTCCAGGCCACTTTTAAATGTACTGATTAAATAAAGGCATTTTAACAATATCCTTAGCTCTAGAGCGAATGTCTGGAGATATTGGCTATATTTGGTTGGCCTAGTTTAAATAGTTTTTGAGTAACTCAGAGTATTAATCAGAACAGTTTGCACTCTCAAACTCTCAGTTTCACCAGCAGGTTCTCCCTTAATGAAACTTACTGTACAAACCTCATTTTACTTTGAATAACTCTCCCCTGTGGAACAACACATTCTTATATACTCCTGATTATTCAGAAGTCATTTTTTTTAATAACTTGGATGGATAAACTACTTTGGGCTGTATCACATTTAACATTAAGTTTCTCAGTTATCGAGTTTTTTTGTGATAAATTGGATTTTAATGTGCATTTAAAGAATCTAAAAGTATTCAAAGCCAACCTTTTGAAGAAAATGATGACACTGATTATAGTGCATTCAAATGTTGTGTCTGTGAGGTCACTTGGTGTTGAAGGTGTCAAGCCTGTTATCCTAATCAGATGTGAAATAATAGTTCCTGCAGGAAAACAATGATAAAGTAACTCAGAGTGTATTATTACCACAAGTTAGCTTGTATTCATCAGCTGGTCATCAGTGGTTTATTTCAGGTTTGCTTTGGTTTGAAATACATTAGGTAAATAGACATATTTTATATGTTACAGTTTCCCTCCAATGTTCTGATTATTTCATTTAACTGATAAAAATGACTTTTCCTCGTTAGTAAACAATAGCCTATAGAAATAGCTTAAGCCTGAGTGCATAGGCTATGTTTCTTATAAGCTATTCAAATGTCGCCACCATATTTAAAGTAGTTTAATTGAGGAATATGTTGATTTCTTTTTCATACAGTCGGCTTATAGCAGCAGGAGAAAGTTGAATTGTTGAAATGTGTGCCTGAATATTTGTATTTGGAAAACTGGACCGCTTTGCTTTGTCCGCTCGGTCTTTAGCTGTGCGCGTCCCCGCGAAGAGTACGCGGCCCTCTTCACGTCACACGCATGCAGCTGTGACGTCACATACATGCGGCGCAGTGCAGCAGGATCTCCTCTCAAGTCTCTACTGTTGTTTGTAAGGTTTTAATGTTTCAGTCTGAGAGTTTAATGTGTCACGGCGTGTCCACACGAGTTAATGTTTAACTTGTGGAGAGTGGCATGACGTTAAAACACGACGTGCATGTTGAAATCAGTCCGAACAGACCGCCTGAACTGAACCCCACGGAGGAGTTTAAATCACCTTTCAGGTTTAGTTTATATAAAGTTGAAAGAAGAGGATGTCCGCTCTGAGAGCTGCTAAACAAGCTCTGAGGAGAGAAATCAAGCGACGGGTCTCAGCTCTGAGTGAAGAGGAGAAACTACGACAGTCTCTGGTGGTTTCTCAAAAGGTAAGAGAAACACCGACAGCAACTATTCAAAACATTAAAACATGTACAGTTACACTTTATATTCAGCTATTAGCTTTTCTAGCCAAGTTAAACACAAATACAATGTTAGTTTTTCTCATCAGCTTTTTCCAGGATGATCTTTTCAGTGATTACTCAGTTTAACATTTATATTATTATTATATTACTTATATTTTATTTAGGTCAATCACAAGTCTATGTGTAATCTATCTTCTTCCAAACACGTGACAGAGCTTTAATGTTTCAGGTAGATTTATTCTATAGTCTTCATGGAAAATCGAAAACTCCATGAGGAAGTCAGACTACCCCTGCCAAAGTTTTCCGTGAAGTTATGTAACAGCTGTGGATCCAATTAATTATTACACTGTCCACTTTGCTTAAAGAGACTTGAACTGTTAGATAAATAATAAACACACTCACACAGTTCAGTTTGTGCCATGTAGATTTCTACTCATAACTCAAAGATATTAGCAAAAGTTAAAGTAATAACAGTCCTAACAGCAACATCTGTGGCTGAGACTTGAAGCAATGGCATTAGGTAAAAAAAAAAGTCCAACTTTAAAGCAGAAATAAACATGTTTACAGCCTGCTACAAAAAAAACAAACAGCATTAGTCTATAGCTTTTTTCTCTATTC